GGGGATGTTTTCATTTTCAGTTATCCAGAACTAGGGGTTATAAATGAAAGATCATCAGTGATAGATCCAACATGGAAGTTTAGGCAAGTCAATCCCCTTTGCGTTTATTTTGCAAATGTTGATTTGTTCTTTTGAGATTTTGTGGGCTTGGAGATGTAGAAAGAGCTATTCTTAGAACTGTTATCTCTTTGGTGATTAAATACTGTATCACAACACCCAAGATCTGCTAATGTCATCAACTTTAGGAATACAAATTAATGGGAACTTGAAGGTAACCTTATTGCTCTTGAAGTTGCATGTAATACAGTCAAGAGGCTCACAAAGCAAAAAGCTTGAATGCTTCTGATTCAAATCACCTAGTTAATTAATTATTCAGAAAAGCAAGTCTTTTTCTTAAAATCTAAGGATATAGCCATTTAAATAGTTTGTACTTGAGGAGGGATGTGGTGTTGGATGCAGTTCAGAGGTTCCAGAGTTGAGGGATTTGTCCTTACGAAGAAGAGATTACTCAGATGAGAAGAGATTACTTCTCTCAAAGCATCATGGATCTGTGGAATTCACTACCCCAGAATGTAGTGGATGCTAGGACACTGAATAAATTTAAGGAGGAGATAGACAGATTTTTAAATAGTAATGGATTGAAGGGTAATGGGGAACAGGCAGGAAAGTAGAGGGTGAGGTGGGATCAGCCATGATCATTCTGAATTGCAGAGCAGGCTCGAGGGGCTGAATTGCCTACTCCTGCTTGTAGTTCTTACGTGCATGTGTACTGCTGCAGAAAAGCAGCAGATGCCAGGCTATTAGTTTTAATTTTTTAAAGCTTCATTGGTACTTTTATTAAAAAGGAAAAGAATGAGTTCTAAAGAAAATAATACGGCATGAAATTTCAGTGATATTTCTATTTTCATTTTCAGGAGCTGCCTGGAAATAGCGTCCTCCTGGTCTATCTATCAGCTACTGGTGTGTTTCCTACAGGCCGTTGTGATTATGAAGGTATAGTAAAAGAATGCTTCCAGTTTTTGTTAGGCAAGAATTGAGTCCAAAACAATCTGCCTCACCAGTTTGCAGGAAGGAACTGTGGAAGGTTTGTTTCAAATCAATATTTTTCATGTCCAATTTCAAAGTTTGTTTTTATTTGTTCATGGGTCTTGGGCTTTGCTGACAAGTTGACATTTATTGTCCATCCATTATTGTCCATGTGGAGGTGGTGCTGTTACGACACAAAGACGAACAGGCAAATCAAATCAGCCTCCCTATCCCTGTACTCTCTCACATTAAAATTTGAAACATTCGGTGACCTTCAAAATTGACCCCTGTGATTCTTAAGCAGACTTCTTGAATAACCAGTACCAGACTTTGTATATAACCAATACCAGACAACAGGTTTATAACTTAGGCTAGAGATTTAACAGTTTATTAGTAATACAGTAGCTTTAGCAGAACAAAATTAACAATGTGGTAATATCATTGATATCAAGATTTTACCCTAATCTTGTTCAATTCTAGCCACCACTCTCTCAAAGATAGACAGACAAACATTTAAGGAACAAATCAAAATGACAAAGAAATAAATGAGATGACAATCTCCACAATCCGTAATTTCAAAGGCGCACGCATCTTGCTGAGTTTCTGAAGACAGCAGTGCCAGGAGATAGAATCCTGTAGTTTCTGAGGAGCCAAAGTCAATAAAGCACTTTGAACAAGAACCAACCTGCAATTAACTTCCAGGACTGGCCTCAAAAACAAATAACAGTTTGTTTGTGTTCGTCTTGTTTTTAAAGATGCTAAAAATTAAAAATCAGCAAGGGTTCTAACAGTGCTGAGCCAGGTTCTTGCACTGCTGCAAACCATTTCAGGACTTTGATCCAGTGATGTAATGCATGGCTTGGTGTGGAACTTACAGGTTATGGTATTACCAAACATCTACCAAGATGGTAGAAGTCAAGGGTTTGGAAAATGCTGTTGAAAAAGGCTTGGTGAGTTGCAGGAGCGCATCTTCTAAATGGTGCATGCTACTGCCACTGTATGTCAGTGGTGGATAGAGTGAATGTTTAAGATGGTGAATGAGGCCTTGATTTAAACAGATTCCTTTTTCCTAGATGTTCATGGAGTCATACAGCATGGAAACACACCCTTTGGTCCAATTAGTCCATTTCGACCACGTTCCCTAACTAAACTAGTCTCTCTTTCCTGTGTTTGGTCCATTTCTCTCCAAACCTTTCCTATTCATATACTTATCCAAATGTCTTTTAAATGTTGTAACTGTACCTACATCCACACTTCCTTTGGAAGTTCATTCCACACACAAGCCACTCTCTGTGTAAAAAAGTGTTGTTGAGCTTCTTCAGAGTTGTTAGCACTGCATTCCTCTAGACGAGTGGAAGTAATCCCATGCAATCCTTCCTTGACACTTGTAGATAATGGACAATTTGAGATTTCAGGAATTAAGTTAGTCGCTGCAGAACACTTAACCTCTGACCTGCCTTGTAGTGACAGTGGTTAAATCTCTGGGTGAGTTCAGTTTATGGTCAGCAGTGACCCCGCAGGATGTTGGTGCTGTTGGATTCAGCAACTGTAGTGCTATTAAAAGAGATTGTTAGATTTTCTCCTGTTGGAGATGGTCATTGCCTGATTTGTATAAATGATGAAGCTACTTTATCCATTAGTGATTCCAAGAATATAACCTTTTCCATGAGACAGTTGGGAATTTGTAATTTATTTATTTCTGTGCCCTTTTGAGTTGAAGTTTATTTACATGTTGAATTTTCTAGATTTTCCTTTTCTTGAACTTTTTGTATTTGTAAGACACCGTTTGTTGTCCTTTCTTAATTGAATCTTCCTTGAGACTTTTGTTTCATAGAGTAAGAGCTCCCTGAGTCTATCATTGCAGTGGAGTCTTTTTATACATAGCATTATTTTACTGTTAGCAGGTTGATATGTTACAGCTGTTGTCGAGGTGAAGAGAATTAGCATACTTTCCAGTTTTGTGTGCTAGTTTTTTTCTAAGTTTTAGCCGTCACCACTGGCTAGCACCAATATGAGAAAGGAGAAAAATGAGGGAGACTCTTGCGACTGATACAGTTTCTCCAATGGTAAGCCTTTCTCTTTGTTTTGGAGTTGGAGGGAGGGAAGAAAATCTGGGTGGAATGCAAAGGCTGACTGGTATCTAAATATATTATCTTCCAAACAATTGCAACAGTCAAGCTGGTGCCAAATATAGTGCTTTGGACTAAATTGGGAATGTCGAGAGGGATATACTGACCTTTTGCCAGCCTAGGGCCTCCAGAGAGGTCTCATGGAGGGAACATTAAAAGCTTTACTGCAAACCATTAGCATAACATGGGTGACAACAATTATAGTGATAAGCCCAGCTTGATTAGTGTAGAGAATAGGCTGTCTCTGCTGGGAGAGATAATTATGTCTTATTGGTTAGCCATCTCGCACCTCAAGTCATGCAGCTTTTGACTAGTAAGGTGCTGACATGCTGTGGTACATCTGCTCAGTGGGTGCTTCAAAAATCTGCTTAGCAAGTGGATGGAATTCTTTGAACCAGGTGGAATAAACTGGACATCAGGGTGATGTGTAAGGGAATGACAGGTGACTTGCAGTTGGTCAGTAATGTGCAAAAGACAGCTGTGATTGACGTGGAACTTGCCAGGTTGAACATTGACATAGCATTCCTACAAGAAACCAGGCTCAGTGGATCACTGAAAGAAAAAAAAAACATTACCCATTCATCTATCAGGAGAAGAGTTCTAAGGAAACCATGAAAAATGTGCAGCTTCACTATGAGGAACTCCCCACTCTTATTGACAGAAACCCCCACGTGGTTCAGAATGTTTTCTTTCCATCTACATCTCAACTTCAGGTAAGGGTAGTTAATCTCCATACATAACTATGCTTCATTGGATAGGTGAAAGATCAAATTCTATGAGGAGTTTGACTTTGATATCAGCAGATTACCCAAATCATCTTGAACCTATTGAGGGACTTCAACAGAGAAGTGGATGTGGACCTTGAGTCATGGCCCCCCTTTTCTTAAGACACATAGTCTGTGAAAGAAAATGAGTGTGGACAGAGACTTTGTGAGCTTTACTGCTTCCATGAGCTGTGTAACAAGTACCTCCTTTCAGAACAAACATGCAACAAGGAGACATTCAGGAGCTGTTCAGGATCAGGGCATTGGTTTCACCTGAATCTGATCCATATCAGTTAAGGCTGATTGAAAAGCATTTTCAACACATGACGATGATGAAGATCACTTGTGTGGACTAGGGTGAGAGTGCAACTCTTGAAGTTCTTTCCATTGAAAGCAGAAATGCTACTCTCGTATCAATGCCTGTTTTTCTGTTTGCCCAAATGAAAAACAATTGTTTTGTCACTTGATTGAATTGGCATTTAGAGTATTCCATACAGAGTGAAGAAGCAAAATGGGACATTTAAGACACATAATACACAATACCATATTCTCAACGAATGGAAAGAAAGAGCAAAAATTGTTGATTGGTTTGAGATTAACATCATTGTAACAAAACCTGTCATTGAAGCCAAGTGATCTGTTTTCATTAACCACGACAAATCTGAGCAACAAAACTCTGAATATACTAAGAGCCGCTCACCATAAAGTCTATCAATTACTAGATGGTGCACCAATGATTACTGTTACAACTCTGCCAAAACCTCCAGATGTCCCCTGACACAGAGAATGCCAGGGGCATGAGTGAAGGGATAAAACAGACAACAGGTACATCCGCAAAGAAAATGGCTGCTTTGGAAACAAAGGTCATCAGCAATTGTAGTAAATAGTTGGAGTGGGTGTGACACTAACTTGAGGTTTCCATTAGGTATAACATTGTCACCAGGAAGCTCTAGATGCCACAGAAAACCAGTTTATTAAGTTGGAGTTCAGCAAATCTAATGACATGAATGCCTACACATATACACTTGTTAGGGAAAATGTAAAAAAAATTCTCTGCGGAGAGAAGCTTTCTGAAAGAAAATACGTTTTCACCAATGGGTTATTCTTGAACGTAAAAGGATAAAGTTTTAGAGACTGATGTTTAAATGTTCTGGCATGTATGGTCAAATCACTAATAATGTATGACTGTCTCTGAAGTCTTGCAGACACCACTTCCTCAGGAATTACAATCTTAATATTCCTTCAGTCACTGCTTCAAGTGATCACATAGGTTTCACAATGAGCTCTATTTGTTCTTAGCAGCAGCGTTCCCTTCTAAGTTGCATGGCTTGCATGCACGTGCAGCCATTCCAATATTCTTGCATGGCAATTGGCATTAGCAGGCTAAATCAATATTGGCTGTGCAGGCCTCTGATGCCTGTGCGTAGCAAGAATTTTAGAGGGAACGCTGCTTAGCATGTGTTCCTCCAATTGAACCAGGTAAAACCAGCATCCTTGCAAATAAGTCACTGTTCAAAACAACCGCAGCAGGGCCTACAACAAAGATGCTCATTGTGATCTTTTTTTCCCATGTATTTGGTAGTATCAGGCTACGATGGGGAACTTTGAGATCTGTACTGGAGTCAAACAGAGTTATATTTTGCATGGATATTCTTCGGCATATTGTTATCTTTGCCTCCTGTTGTAGAGGGTGTCTTCTTCTATACCAGAACTGATGGAAAGCTGTTCACCCTTGCATGCCTGAGATCCAAGACAAAGGCATACCAACTCCTTATCAGAGAATTGCGCTACCCTGATGTTGTCATACAATCATTCCTTCCTGAGTAATGTCTTCAGGAATAAATGGACAGATTCTCTTGTGTCTGTAAAGAGTTTAGTTTGACCATACACATCAGGAAGACAGATGTCATAATCCAGGATGTTTCCCGACCATCATCTTTCATCTTCGGCAGTTTAAAGCTGGAGACTGTTGATTGCTGATTTAGATAATTGAAACTATCTGTCATTTAGAATCATAAAATCATATATTTGGTACTAAAACCAACACATTTGTAGCAAAAGCTGCAGCTGTTAT